CCACTTACGAATCTTGTACAGGTTCCATAGCAAAGAGTCCTAGTTTATATCCGTAGGAAGATCCATTTAAGACTTTGAAGCTTCTGTACACCTTAAAAAGACTTTACTATTGAACTAATTCGTTTTAGAGTGTCTTATCATATATGACATCAATCTTTGATACACTATATTCATCTGGAAAAGCAGCTAGACTTTGTTTGGCGAATTGTATATTTTAAAAGATTTGAAATAACGAAATTTTTTCTTTCAAATATATCCCTTTTATAAAGAAAATTTATCTCTTTCCTTTGATATTGAAATTACTTTGACAATCTGTCTTAAGTGAATAGTGGTGAGAATTGTATCCAATTAAAATAGTCGTCTTTCATTAGAAATGATATTCAATAAAATACTTTTTATAATCGTTAAATAAGTATCAGCCGTTAGTTGAATGACTTTCTCAACCTTCGCTTAACTGTAAAAATCATAAAGATAGCTGGTTTTTTCATCAAATTAGGACAAAAGTCAAAAGAAAGAAAAAAGTCTTACCATCATTGTTTCAATTTGACCTGGTGGTAATTTACTATTACAATACATATCAAACCGGAATCGAAGACTTTCTTTTAATGCTAATAATACAGGTTCATCATTTGACTTTGGATGAAGATAATGTGATAAAAAACACCATATAAGATATGATGAAGCAATTGTTGGATAATATTGTCCTGAAAGTGCATTCGTTGATGCATCAAATGGTTTCAAAACATCTCGTATGTGAACTAATAAATCCCATTCATTTTGTTTCAGTTTTAGCTCATCGAGTCTTTTCTTTTGTTTATCTGTTAAGCCATTGAAGTTGTTCGGAAAAGAAAAAACACTATTTACAATATCAGAATGTGCCAATAAACGATGAAGCAATAAATAAGAACTATTCCAACGTATAATCATGTCAAGAACAAGACCACCAATTTTTTCTTTTTGTGTTTTATTTTTTAATTCAACATATTTAACTACATATGCATTAGTATCATTATGATTTCTAATAAACTTCACACCAGCCCTTGTTTTCTTCATTAAATTGAATACATATAAAAGCAACTCATAATGATCAATTGATGATAACTTGTTATCACTGATAGTAAGTGATGAAAAATTAATATCATCATCAGAATCACTTTCAAATTCATCATCATTGGTATCATTATGACTTGTATCATTACCTTGATTTGAATTATTATCATCATCATCATCATCCTTATCTTCATCATTAAGTAAATCCGTAGCTACTTCAATTAAATTTTCATCAACATCGGATGCACCGTAATCAATATCATCAATATCTTCCCATTCATCAGAATTAGAGTCAAGAACCAATGGAAAACTAAAATACAAATACAAAATTGCTTAATGTATACATTTAAAATAGAAAAAAAAACATTCTCATTCTGTGAAAACTAATTATTAGAGTCTTAGATGATGAACTGCTCTAAATATTCAAATTCACACTAGTACTAATGTTTATTTATCAGATTCACTGACTTCTTGGACTTGCGAGCAACAAAGATCGGCATATAGCAGTTATGTCATTCATTTCGGATGGAGATAAGGAAGATTTAGATAACAAAGAATACAGTTATTAAAAATATTCATTTTAGATTTACAATATCGTTGTTTTTAGATTCTTGAATCTTCTTGAAGAAATTTTTTTGTATTAAAATTAAGCTAATTAATAAGATAAATAAAGATATTCAAAAACCCAAATATACTAGTTATAGCATTTTATATTGACGACAAAAGGTAGAAAAGTATAACAGGAGTCGTCTAGCAAATGTCTCATTAATTCTATATCATACGATAGAGAAACTAACCTTTAATAGCATTTTGTGTGAAATACGGCGGATAATTTGAAATAAAACTCAGATTTTGGTTACATAGAAATAATGTTAATTTACCTGTTGTGATAGCATGTAGATACTAGAAAAAATCGCGATCTCTTTATAATCATATGTTTAATTCGATGCTGTTTTACGTTATAAAAATTCAAGCATGTCTCCAATAATACTCAAGTCATCACACTAGTAGACGTCTATTTAAATATTCTTTATTATTCATTATTCTCTCTGTCAATATGCAATCATCTTCCAATATTTTATTATTAGAAGTTTAAATAAAAACTCTCGTTTATGATTGATATGTTATGTCATAATCGGCACATCGAAAAAACATAAGAAATTAGCCTTTAGCTTGAGAATGCAATAAAGATTCGAATGAATTATTAGGTATATTTTGAAAATAAGAATATTCCCTAAAAATTAATAACTAAGATCTTTTTTACACAAGACTTCGTGCATATTTTATGAAAAGGATGCTTTCTGAATACTTAGCGATATACACTTGCATATTCTATGTGCACGCACAAATAAACATGATCTTAATTGGTTCGGTAGCTTGTCTTTCGAAAGCCACAATTCTTGAAATGATTCGCTTTTCGGCAGTCAGAACAAGAATGAGTTTTCCGTCGTCCGACGATAGCCTTGTCAAAATCAATCATACACTATACATATATGTAATACTTGAAACTTAAATTCAAATATTCAAGCATTCAGTTATTGAATACTTGAATTTTCAAGTATTCAAGTTTCAAGTATTCAATAACTGAACACTTGAATAGTTGAACTGATAGTTGAATACTTGAATTCAACATTCCAGTTTGACACTACTGACACTATACGGAGAGATAAGCAATTTTTAAAACTTTCTTGCTAAAAGGCTGTTCTTTTTGTGACAAAACAAAATGCATAATATTTGTTTGACTAGGAGATAAAATTGCTTAATTCTTGAAGAAGTTTGTCATTATCTGGACTTTATTCAATATTTTCTATTTATTTTTCAGTCTGTATTATAGCAATGTAGTTGGCATCTTGACTTACCGTATATATTATATGATATTGATTATACTTCTGATTATGTATGATATTTCATACCAGGTAAAAAAAAGATGTATTTTTAAGAACTAGTATACTACCTCAAATTTTTAACATTCTGCATGCATAGAATGAATGAATCAGCTTTTGTTTTTAATTTCATTCTGTTTCTGAAATTTGATAAGTTATATTGACATATGTAAACTTTTCACATACCATATTAACTATATTATTAACCTAATATTCTTTTGAAAGAAACTGAAATATATTTAATTTGTATTTGTATATCTTTTATCCTTTGATGTGATTAACAGTAGTTCTACAAGATTCAAACCTATTTTTGTGACTCTCTTCAGATTCGTAGGAATCAATTAGTTATATCTGTATTATATTCAGAATGTAAGTGGGCTTTTCATTTAGTGATTGATAATGTGTTGAATACGGATGACCAAATTATTTAGTTAAAACTATGTATGTCAAATTTCTTTTTCCTTATGTTTTATTTTTTAAAACAGAACACCAGTATAGCTCATGCCTTAATTTATTGCTTACAACCTCTACATGATTGAGCTGTATCACATTGTCTTCAAATATCAAAATTGAGAAAAAAAAAAGATATTGCCCAAAACCATTAATAAATCAGAAAAGTGGTAGAAGAAAATAATTTCGACGAAGAAGCGACATTA